CGTCTCTCTTTGTTCACGTGCGCGCGGGGGGGGGGGGGGGTTCGCAACCCTTCCCCTAACCCCTACTAAAATCAAGCGTAATAACAACCTCGCTAAACCTACTGGCACTTCGACCCGTACCCGTAACCCCTAGGAACACCAAGCTTTAGCAATAACCTCGCCAAACCTCCTGCATGTTACAATACCTTGCGGTCCTCTTCCTGGCCTCCTGGATCGAAACCCTGCGTCGACCTCCTCCTCCTCCTCCTGACTCGCCAAGCAACCCGGATGGGGGCCCCGCGACATCAACACCCCCTCTCATCCGCGCCCCCGGCCCGACCCCGGTTTGGTGTGGCTGGTCACGCCGCTGTTCGGCCGCAGCGGCGGCGATAGCTTCGTCGTCTTCACGGGACTTTCGGCGGGATTCTCTCCTTTGCCGCACCTGGGCAGATAACGGAAGGGGGCGACATGGATATCAATACATCGCCGGGTGAGACAGTAACAAAGAAGAACCGGCAGCGGAGGTCGAGAACAGGCATCGGCACGTCGTACGTGTAAAGGGGTGTGCGGAGGTTGGTGCGGCAAATCTAAACCTTTGTAGGGAGAACAGAGGCGGACATCAAGCGTGTGGTGGTTTGCCAATCGTTGGCTCATATCGACACGTGCTTGCTTGCCATCGAAATCGGGAGGCTTGAGAGGAAAATACGATCATGTTGTATATTTAGGAAAAAAAGCGACGAAAAGCAAAGAAAAAAAGCAGGTTCCTCTCACCGTCTCCACATCATTTTGTCGAACTCCCCCCAAAATAGATCAATACATAGACAGACTTACACTTGTACCACAGGCAACCAGACTCACAAATTTAATATCTACAATTATTGATAATGCCATTCAAATGAACCATGTTTTTTTTTTTCGGAAGACGACCAAGTAGTAGCATTTGGCTTGTTGTGTTTACTTCGTTTCCATCAACAACAACAACAAAAAGGTGGGTGGTTCCTGTTCCTCTTACCGCCTCTTCCCGAGCCCTCGACCTCGAGATGAACCCCGAAGCCCGGCTCCTGAAAAACGCCGCCAGTTCTCCAGCCTCCTCTGCCTCCAGCCGCCTACCCCCGCCCGCGCCTCCTTCTTCCGATCGACCCCTCGTGCCACCTGCCGCGCCACCGCGATGGTCAGGTGCGGGCCGCTCTTGGGTCTGGTCCCGAACGACTTCTCGCAGAGGAGGGGATGGCGGTCGGGACGAATACACCGACAAGACCATGACGAAGGGAAAATGATGAGGGTCGTCGATCGAGAGGAGAGATGGGTGGGATAACGACACCGTAGGCGACGCAGACAAGGAAGTTCTTGAGAGATGGGGTCAATACATCACAGGCGGCGCAGACCAGAGGTTCTTGAGAGATGGGATCAAGGCATCATAGGCGGCGCAGACAAGAGGTTCTTGAGAGATGGGATCAAGGCATCACAGGCGGCGCAGACACAGAGGTTCTTGAGAGATAGGATCAAGACACCTTAGGCGACGCAGACAACAGGTTTCTTGAGATATGTGATCAAGGCATCATAGGCAGCGCAGACACAGAGATTCTTGAGAGATGGGGTCAAGACACCACCGTTGGCGACGCAGACAAAGAGGTTCTTGAGAGATGGGATCAAGACATCACAGGCGGCGCAGACACAGAGGTTCTTGAGAGATGGGATCAAGGCATCACAAAACATCACAGGCGGCGCAGGCGAGAGGTTCTTGGGAGATGGGGTCAAGACATCGAAGGCGGCACAAACCAAAAAGGGTAATTCAAGCGATGGCGCCTGCTGTATGGTATGCATAGCTCTCAGTGCCTGAGGCTACCGTAGTAGCAGTCCTAGGATAAGCCCCCAAGCGCAATGCTGGCGGCGCGTCGCCAACTCCGCCCATGACCACCCTCCCCCCGCGGGGCGAGCTATCTACCACACACGAGCTGTTGTTCGCCATCTTTCTTCCGAGGTAGCAGCCGTCACAGTAGCAGCATTTTCGTTACCGCACCTGCACTCCCCACCTCCCACGCGGAGGCACCGGTTGGTCGAGCAGCAGCATGCGCTCCTGGTTCCCTGCCTGGCGGTCCTTCCCTCGCCATGGCCAAGGAGTCGAGCGAGGGCTCGGAGAACTTGAGAGAGTCTTCCGTCAGGGTGGTGTCCTCCTCTCGCCTGATGCCGCCACCCTCGTGCCCTGCTGGCCGGGACGAAACGCGGGGTCAAAGACAGCAGTAGAGGTTGTCAGAAGATATCGAAGAAATTTGAAGGTGTCAACGCAGATGTCCGTGACAACGAAGGTATCTAAGGCATTTAAGATAACTATGATGCCGACGATGTCGACGGCATGAAACATATCAATGAAGGTATGGAAGATATCAGAGACATCACAGACGGTAAACATATCAACCGAAATCGTTGAATATTTCAAAAAGGTATCGGAGATATCATATCACCATCTTCGAAGATACCAAAGATTTCGAGGTATCACAGACATCACAGACATCAAACGATGTCAACGAACGTATCAAAGCTCAATTTCATTTGCCCCAGACAAAGCCGTCAACGCTGGATTCGGGGGAAACACCCTTGGAGAACGACCACTATAGTACTGCCCAAGCCATGCGGAGGTTTTTCGGCCACTCTTAATGATATTTTTCTGTGGGTGACAAGTGCAAGTCTTCGTCCAAGAGGACATGAGGACACCGCCACCTCCGCCACCATTCGGGGAGACAACGGCCATGACTGGAATGAGATTTCTCTTGCAAGACCACCGTGCTCCACGCCCTGCCCTCGGCGTAAAAATACCAAGGACTTGGAATCAACCCACCTGCGTCGAATGAGTTGCAATCGCCCAATAATACTAGACCTAACTCTCCCGTTTCACAACGGGCGTCAGTATATTCTGTCTATGACAACCAACTTCTCCTTGGCAACGATTCTCCGGAGTAGTGTAGAACTTGAGGTGTGCACTACTCCAACAAAAACGGGCATGTGGCGAAAGTCAGTCTACAATTTTTGAGGGGTATATGACCGATCGACAAAGCCGGTCTATGGACAACCTGAGAAACAACAAAATGACCGGTCTCAAGGCTCGCGGGTCAATCTACCAGCTAACACTAGAGAGTGGGGAGTTACCGTAACGTGGTCCTGCAGCGTCTCCTGCGGTCGCCGGCAACGGCTCCAACTCGCTCTCCTCCTCCGAAAGCGAACGCGACCAGCTCTCGTCTCCTCGACCGTCATCTACGTCGCCTCCGCCCCCGTTTCTACCCTCCTCCATGCCACCGCCGAACAGATCACGCTCGTCGTGGGCACGCCGAGCAATCGCCCAAGCGTTACTCCCAGCGTCGAGAACACGGCCGGCTTCCCCGCCACCGCCGCTCCTGTAGTCACCGCCGTCGTCGGCTTGCGTAGCCCAAGAGAGGTCGCCGTCGCCGATGCCGAGAGCGGCGCCGCCTCCTCCGCTGATGTTGTCGTTTGGCGCAGCCGATTCTCCTCCGTCATCGTCATCATCGTCTCCGCCAGCAGAGCGCCCGGCGGCTCCCGGCGCCGCTCCCGCAACAAACTGCTCTTTCTCGTCGCCGGCGGTGCTAGGCAACACGCCCCCACCGCCGGGGCCCCTCCCACCAGCGAACAGCACCTCGTCGTGCTCCGCTCGTGCGGTCTTCATCTCCGCAACACCGCCGCCGCCGCCGCCGCCGCCGCCGCCGCCGCTGTTGCCGTAATCACTACTCGCAGCTCTTCCGTCCGACCCCGCACCCGTACCGGCGTATCCGTACCCCTCTCCCTCTACCACCCCCTCCGCCCCACCGCCCCCCCCGGCCGGCCCTCGCCCTCCGCTGCCGGCATTTTCGAGTATCAAGTCCTGCTCCTCCGTGCTCAGGTCCCGCCACGCGACGGCCGCCGACCCCGCCGAGTTTGTGGACGTCCCCTCGATGTAGTCGGCGAGGGACCCCCACCCGGGAGCCTCGAGAGGCGTAGCGGCACCGCCTCCGCTTTCGTCGTAATAGCCGCCGCCGCCGCCGCTGTCCACCGCCTGTTGATGGGGTTCCACCAGGATATCGGGGTCCAGCGATAGGTCGCTCGCGGGGGGTGGGGACGGCGAAGAAGAGCCGTCAAACAGAGAGGCCGCCTCCGAGGAGCTCGGTGACGCCGCGGCAGGGCGGGCGGCGGTGTCTACGGCGTCGTCTCTTCGCCGGGGGTCGGTGCCGGGGACAACGCCGTCAGCAAGCACCGCGGCAGCACCGTCGCCATCGTCGCCTCCGTCTGCGCCGAAGGGACGCGCGGCGGTCGCCGGGGTGTAAGAAGGGGACGGGACGACAGCGGTGTCGGTGCCCGGGTCAACGTCGTTGTCGTCATCATCACCCAAGCCATCGATCCACCTCCTGCTAAGCGAAGGTGTACGATTCTCAGCCACCGCCGCCGCCGCCGCTTCCACTATTCCCGCTACCGTTGCCGCCGCCGCCGCTGTGGTGGGCCGACGGCTCCCGAAAAAACCGCCTTCACCGTCGTCGCTACCCTGCGACTGATGATGATGATGGTGCGACCCCTGACGATTCGGAAGGGGACCACTGGTCCCTTGCGGGGTCATCGCAAGAGGCGAGATTTCTGCGCCTCCCCTCAGGGGTCCCACGACTCCCCCTGTAGGGGACGGGAGCATGAATCCCGTTGCAGCAGCCTCACCCCCGTCCGAGCCATCCTCTCCGCCGTCGAGACCCTTCTCCTCGGAACCGGTGGAGGCCGCGTGAACTGAATGTCGGGGTCCCCGTGGCGCCGCCCGTTGAAAGGAACGATGCTGCTGCTGCTGCTGCTGTTCTCTTGCCGCCGCCGCCGCAGCCGAGGCGGTGGTTTCGCTTTCGCTGTACCGCCCGTCCGCGCCCCGCCGCCACCACTCCGACCCGCCGGTCGTACCGCTGTCAGGTCCGCCCCCCGCGTTGAAGGGGACCGAGTGGTCACTACCGCTAGCTTGGCCGTCGCCCGCGTCGACGGCAGTGTCTCGGGGACCATCTTCCTCACGCCGAGTCTCCTGCCGCTGCTGTTGCTGCTGCTGCTGCTGCTGATGCTGCTGCTGCGGGTTGTCCCCTTTCGTTTCTCCTCCCCCCTCCGCTTCCGCTGCGCGGGCAAGGGAAAGCCCAGCGCGGTGATGGTCATCATCGCCAGCCGCTGCTGCGGAGGGTCCGCCGAACGGTGGCTGCTCGCCCGTGTCACGGAGCTCGACCGGCCCCGGTCCAGCCCCTGGCGCCGCATCTCGGCCGTCCGCGTATCCACCAACAGCGGCACCGCCGTACGAAGACGAGAAGGAGGGGCCCCTGCTGCTGCTGCAGCCGTCGCCGCCGGCGACGGCCGCGGCATGCTTCCGGATAGCCTCCGTGTCAAGCGAGAGGAGCCGCTCGATCAGGCCGTTGTCGGATTCCGGTGTGGTGGACGACGAAGACGACGAGACGGGGGGGGGGCGTGGCGTGCGGGGACGGCCGGCATCATCGTCGCGGAGCCCCCACTCGTCTGACGTCCGTAGACGGAAGTCTTGGGACCCTTCCGAGGAATGTTCTCCATCCCCCCTGTTACCACCGCTGCTGCTGCTGCTGCTGCTACTGCCGCTCGGAGAAGCGGCGGAATCATCACCACGAACACCCCCCCCAGGGGGCGGCGGCGTTCCTAGCCCCGGCGCCCCCGGCGGCACCGGAGGTGTGCTTCTGCCCTCCCCCCCCGCCGCCGCCTCCTTCTCCCTCGCTTCCAGTTCCGCCTGAAAGGCCTCCAGGGCCGCCAGCGCGCTGTCTGCGCCAGCGTTCGAGTCTACGTCGGTTGCCACGGACCGCCTAACCTCGTGGCCTCCGTCGATGCCCTCGCTCCCTGTCGAAGGTAGCAGGACGATGTTGTTGCTGTTGTTGCTGCTGTTGGTGCGGCCGGAAGACGGGCGTGAGGACGAAGAGTTGGTGTAGTCGGAGGAGGATGGGCGTGGGCTCGAAGACGAGGAATCGGTGTGGCCGGAAGAGAGGTATGAGTTCGAAGAGTTGGTGTGGTCGGAAGCAGAAGGGCGTGAGTTCGAAGGGGAAGAACTGCTGCGGTCGGGAGCAGAAGGGCGTGAGTTCGAAGACGAGGAGTCGGCGACGGATGTTGCGCGGATGGCCCGGCGGTGCTCTTCGAGCTCTTGCTGCTGCTGCACTAGTAACGCCGGCTGTTAGGCCCGCAACGGGTAAGGGAAAGAGGCGCGGAACGTGCGGAAAACACATGCATCGGGGGTTAGAAGAGGCGGGATGGGGGTAAGAAGAGGTGGGTGTGGGAATCTTCATGTTCCATGAAAAGAGGGTTGTGTCTAGTCCTCCTCCCTTGAATACGAGAATCTCGACCAAGTTGCGCAATTTTTGCCTTCAGGTCTGGTAATTCTCCGGCAATAATATTGTTCCGAATTAAACACGAAGCAAGACACCCGAGAATAAAAACAAACGCACATATTTGGATCTGGAAGGCCGTATGGTTTAGTCCTGTACGGAGACAAGACTACCCATTCATGTGACTCTGCCAAGATGAGGGTGGCATTCACCAGCTCAGGATTTTCCTCCGCTGAAAATCGAAATTCTTCGAAACACCCTGCAGATTTATTTGTCGCAAAACTCGCTAATGCAACATTAGTTTTTTCGCTCTTGGGCGGCACGCGCATGAAGTAATCATCTTGCACCTCAGTATCATAATAGTAGTGCTTCGGACAAAAAAAACAAGCTCGAAAAACACTATTTTGAGCACCTGTTCAAGGCGCAGTCACAAGGCCAAGCCGGATCTGCATCACCGTTAGAATCAGTGCCCCGGCCCAAAAGACGTCGCCAACAACACGACTAACAAAACCCGGATGGATGTGTATGAACGACGTCTGACGGGAAAAAGAGTCCCCACCTAAAGTGTCACCTGCCGCAGCAAAGAGAGCAAGGGTTACAACCACAAAAAACAAACGCTCGCATTTTCTCGAGAACAGGCTGTCGTCGGGCACCTTAGGCTCGAAGCGCATCTTCCGCTGCTGCAGCGACTCCGCAAGAGCCTCCAGGCTGGCTATCTCGGCCTCAAGGTCCGGCCCCAACGAGTGGCTACCGGTGCTGCTGCTCAACGACGACGACCTGTAGCTACCGCCTCCCACAGAAGCGGCACTGCCAAGCCCTATCCCACGCGCGGCTTCCGCCAAGACGGCGTCCGCTCGGCCCATCACCGACGAGGCCGAGGACGACGACAGCGAGGACCGGACGAACGATTTGATGCCGCCGCCGCCGCCGCCGCTCGCTCCTACTATGCCGTCGCCTGCCTCCCAACGCACAGCCCCCTCTCCCTTGGCCTCTTCCCAACCCCCGCTGCTCGCATCCTCGCCCTTTCTCTTTTCCTCCTGGGACCGGTCCGCGGCACGGTGCTCGGCGGGGCCGGGCCTTCCGTCGACCCCTTCGAGAGCCGGAGGGGAAAACGACCGGGATGTCCTTCCCACGCCACCTGCGCTAGTACTGCCGCCGTCGCCGCCGCTGCCGCCGCTGCTGCTGCTTCTGCTGCTTGCTGCTGCGGCTGTCTCCCCCGGCGGGAGCGTCCACGTCGCAGAACCCGACCCGAACCCCGCCCTCGAAGACGAGAACCCCATCCGCGATGCCCCCCCCCCGCCGCCGCCAACCCCGCTCTTTACGAGACCCTCCAACCCACGTCGGAATCCCAGCTGGGCGGAGGCGAAGCCCTCTAAACCGTAGGCCGACAAGGACGAGGAAGAAGTAGGCGCCCCCGCTGCCGCCGCCGCGGCCGCCGCCCCGACCACCGCTCTCTCCCCGCCGCGGGACCCGCTGGACCGTGAGCCCGTCGCATGAGAAGCGCTGTCTGCCGCGCCCCCGGAGGAGAGGGCATCGCCATCGTCTCGTCGTGGTACTCCCGACATGGATGAGTCGGGACTGGTCACGGTGCCGGCTGCTTCGCTTCTGCTGCTGCTGCTGCTGCCCCCCCCGGCGAGCTGGAAGCCATCCACCAGCCTGTTCATGCTCTCGATCGAGGCCTGGATGCGCCTCGCCCACTCGGTCACCTGTGTTCACAGCAGTAGCGAGAGCATTCCGTCATATGATTGTTATTCCGCGTGCAAGGACGGGGGGTGTGAGCAAACGCGGCGGCGGCGAGGGCGAGCTAGGCAACGGGGATGATCACGATAGCCGATGCCTCCGACGAAAGGGCTACCAGCAGGCGGCAATCGCCATGGCCGTCTTAACATCGGTGGCTCACGCCCGTGCCTGCTGCTGTGTGGAGTGAGCGTATGGACGACCGTCGCGGCATCGAGTATGATCCTCCACCCCAGTGGCCACCGGTGTCGTGGGTCTCCAATTGCGGGCTCGCATATGATCGGTCGGCCGAGCGACCGGTGTTCGTACGGGAAAACACACACGGTTGCTGTGTCCCCGCCCTCACAATGGCCCTTATAGCAAAACGGTACTATCTGCAATTGAACCCACTTGCCTACGAACAAAAAACAACAAATTACGTCCTTAAGCCTGAACGACGGCGACCGCACATCGCCGGCGCTGGGACTGGTCTACTGCAAGCTTTCCTCGTGAGCAGGACGGAGGGGGAAAATTACCAGTCGATGGCGTTCCCCGGCAATAGTGTCTACCAGGCAACGGCTTGATTGTACGCTGTTGGATCGGATGAGAGTTCGACATAGCCCTCCGGCGAAGGTTTCAAAATAGCGACTTACAACCCCCGCCGACCCGCAAACCCGACTCTCACCTCTTGCGCCGTGTCTACGGTGCCGCCCCTGGGAGACACGCCTCCCGCAGTCTCCACAACGCCCGCCTCGTCCCCGTCCAGGCCCCCGGCTCGTTCCCACAACCCCAGCGCCGCCCGTGACCCCGGCATGGACGGCTGCCGCCAGCGGCCTGTCCAGCCCGGTGCGGCTGGGCCTTCCCTCGACAGGGTCCTCGCTAGCTCCCGGTCCCACGACACGGCATCCGCTCCTCCGGGAGCAACCACGCTCGCGCCGCTGCCGCCGCCGCCGCTGGTGCTGCCGCTGCCGCCACCGCTGATGCTGCCGCCGCCGCCGCTGCTGGTGCTGCCTCCGCCTCCAGCGCCGAGTCGGGTCTGCCCTGCTCCCCCCCCTGTTACCCCCAGGCCCGTTCGAAAGCGCCAGGCGCCGCCGCCGCCGCCGAACTGGCGCGTGCCCGGGCGTACGACGAATCCATCCCCGCCTTCCTCCGAGGAACCCCGCTTCTGTTCCCCTTTCTCCTTGTCGCCGCTACCGCTGCCGTGCCGGCTGCTGTAGGAGTCCGTGGCGTAGTGGCCCGGGGAGGAGGGGGATCGCGGGGCCCGGGAAGAGAGGGTGTTGGCGTCGTCGTTGTCGTTGTCGTTGTCCCAGCGGTTAGCGTCGGCCTCCGCTTGGCGGGTGATCAAGGCTGCCTCTCTGTCCAGGCGGCGGTGTCTTTTTTTTGTTTTCGTCGCGACGGTGCGGTGCGACAGACCGACACCGTCAGGGATCGATCCAAGCGGGGGGCGGGCGCCAAGGAACAAGAGGATGGAGGGAGGGGCGACTAGGTGTGTACGTTTGGAATTGCCACGCGAGGTGTCGAGCAACCGTCACCCAAGTTTTCCGTTTTCTCCCAAAGGTCTGTACGTAAAACATAGGTAGTGTCATTCATTTTCCATTCGGGATAACCAAAAGGCGCGTCATGCCCTCCAATGCTCGTCACGAGATTCGACCGGATAGATTCCGCACAAAACAACACATTCTCGGATTCCCGGGTTCCAACAAGTAGGCCAAAAACGGGCAACAAAGCGCAGCGTTCCAAACACCTCTGGCCGCGATAAAGCACGCCAACTCACCGCTCCAGCAGCTCGGTCAGCTCCTGGTCAAGCGGTGGCAGCGTCGACGTGCTGCTCGAGCCCACCTCTGACCCCCCCCCCCGCGCTCCCTCACGCATCACCCCTCCTCCGTCACCGCCAGGCAGCGGCGGCGACGGCGGGGGCACCGCCGCCTCCGCCGCCGCCGCCGGTCCCTCTTCTCCTCGAACATCTACTACACCGCGCCGCGGCATTAAGGGATGTGTTGGAGACATGACTCCCGCCGATCCCGGCTCGGCCATAACCGAGGACCCCGCATCCCCCATCGCCCCCATCGCCGCCGCCGCAACCGCAGCCGTACCGCGCGGTGTCCACACGCTCTCTCGCCCCGTGCGGATACTACCGCTGAGCCCGGGTGGACCGACATCGCCACCCCCCGCGACCCTGCTGTCGGTACGCTCGTCGTCCCCCTGCCGCCGAGAAAATGTCGAGCTGTACGGCGCCGTAGCCTCGAACGCGCCCCCGGTGCCCCCGGCGCCGCCGCCTGCGGACGCGGCGGCTTGCGGCTGGCTAGGCCGAGGTCGGAGAGCGACCGGCTTGAAGGGGCTGCGCGCGATCACGCCGGTGCTACCGCTGTTGCGGACGCCGTTCTCGTCCATGCCGGCGCGCCGCCTGCGAAAACGAAAGGGCCGCGTGGGGAACGAGGACGGAAGGTGGGCGTTTTCGGAGGCTGGGCGGGACTGTCAGCTTACGGGACGGGACTGTTCAGTTTTTGGGTGCGGGACTGTCGGGTTGCGGTGCGGGATTTTTCGCTTTTTCGGGTGAAACACTGAGCGGGGAAGGCGGGAGGGGGTGTTCAACGATAAAAAGTGCCATCATGGAGCGCGGGGCGTGGGACTGTCAGTTTGTTGTGCGGGATTGTCAGGCTGCGGTGCGGGGCTGTTCGTTGTGCGGGTGAAACATCGACAAGGACGGGAGAAACGTCGACAACAGGCAAGACAGAAAACACGTACCGTACAGTACAATACACGTGCCCTGAACTCAACGCTTGAGAAAACATGATCTGCGAGGATAGTCCTCAACCGCGCATTCAGCGTGGACCGATCAATGCTGCAATGAGGCCACGTGTTCTCGTCCCCCCACCCCCCACCCCTTCATATCATCCCTTCATCTCATCCAAGCCAAGTCGTGTTCTCCGCTTGATCTGAAAGACAACTCTCTCTCTCTCACCCCCCCCTCGTCTCTGCGCCATCTTGTTCAGCAGTAGCCAGTGGGAATCATGCCTTGGGAACAAGGAGTCTCTCACCTCGCTGCCCCCGCCGTTACAGCTTCATAACACAACTCCTCCGCGCCAACCTGACCTTGCGCGTCACCAAATGGAGAAGGGGCCGGTGTTGTCGCTTCAACCGCTCCTTCCACCTCAGCACCGCTGCCGCTGCGCCGGGATCGCCAGAAAAAAAGAAAAAAGAAAACGGCATCATCATGCAGACGGAAGCGGAACATGCACGACGCCATGGCGGGGGAGTTAGCGTGAATGAGGCAGTACGGAAGAGCGGGGGGGGGTACGGTAGCCGATGGATTATGAGCAATTAGTGCCGACTATTGTATTGCGTTCTTCGTGTTGGGGTGTACTGCTTGATCGGTGCTTCACTGGTATTGCCCGTTCTAGATTGGGGTGTGTGGATTGGAGAGACGTCCAAGTCCACCCAGCTCGTGGGAAGAACCGATACCTGAAGAAGGCAAACAGCAAACAGCGAAGACACATCGGCAAACAAACGACAACTGCCGGATTCAGACACACGACAAACAGCGAAGGTAGGAATAAGCACACTCGCCTCAACACCTCGCCAACGGCGACATGCAGCCTGTATATAGCTTCTCTCCTCACCTTGCGCTTTCACCACCCGATCTAGCCCCCGAAGGTTTCCCGCCGTCTATAGCTGCGGTCGGCGTGTTGTGAACAGCGACAGCAATAGACGAAGCGGACTGCGCAGGGGAAGGAGGGGCAGCGTTGGCTCTGCTGACCGCGTCTCGGGCTTCTGCTGCGGAAGCTGCCGCGTCTCGGGCTTCAGCTGCAGCGGCTGCAGCTGTTCGGGCTTCGGCTGCAGCAGCTGCCGCGGCCCGCGATTCTGCCGCCAAAGCTGCAGCAGCCCGGGCTTCTGCCGCAGATGCTGCTGCTGCTGCTGCCTCCATCTCCGCTGCTTGCTCCCCCCCGTTCCCCCCATCTTCAGCCGAAGGCGTGGGAGACCTGGCGAACCACGAACCTTGCTCAAAACCCGCCGCTAACTCTGCCGTTGCCACGGCCTCCGTCGGCGCCAAAGGTCGCCGTTGCTGTAGGGAAGGGGTCTGAGGTGAATCCGCCGCCGTTCCGGCGATGCCGTTGCCACCACCACCGCCTCCGCCGCCGCCGCCGCTGGGTGTAGCAGAAGGTGCCGCTGCGGAACCCTCCGAATCTGCGTCCCAACCGGAGTCAGGCTCATTCTGACATGGTAT